TGATGTAACTTTTTTTCCAAAAGCGCTTTCCCTGGGGGCCACGACTCCGCAAACTTGGAGAAAAATCGTCTTTTTAACACTGTGACAATTATTTTCATCAACCAATATTAATAAAAATCGGGTAATAAAATGGTAATAAACACCAGACTGTATGGTAGCATTTACCATATTATGGTATCATCAGGTTGCTAGTGAACACTAATATAATTTTAGTTATTTTCACCAAATAATAAAACTGTGTAAAAAATTAAGGAGACTTATACTGCCGTGCTGATGAAGAACGCCGTATGAACATTCGAGAGTTGCCAAATTTCTTCCCAGAAGATAGTTATTTTTGAAGAAAGGTTTGAATATTTTTTTTTGAAATTCTTAGGAACTTTAGGTGAAATTGCGAACAGTATTATCTAAAAATTAAAAGAAAAATATTCATAATTTTATTAAGATACTCGCGTTTTATCAATCGAAATTTGGCAACGCCTGGAGGTTTATACGGCGTTTCTCCTTATCACGGAAGTGTAGCAGATGTTACCATACTTTTTTTTCACTGCAGCAAGTTTCTCCTCAAACATGGAATCCACAGAATCTCAGGTACCAGCAAATTCTTAATTTTAAAACCCCGGAGTGTGACGCAATAAGTTTCTTGCATGCGAATCGGCAATAGTGCGTTGATGTAAAGGAGCTGTCTCGTTTGGCGCTGATTAATAGAATGCGCCGGGGAGGCTCGGCAACCGGTGCTCACCACTTCGCACACAGAGTTGATTTATTTTCCTTCATTAATCCATCGCCGGGATCTAAGGCTTGGGGCAGAAGAAGAAGAACAAGCTTAAAAACCCACCAACTTCCTCACCGGGTGGCCTTTGTTAGGTCATCGTACGCAATTCCATGGATACTCTTGATTGAGTTACGGATTCGTTAGGATTAAAATATGTGCATTTACAGCCGCTTTTATAACGCTCTCTGGCGCTCTGCGACACCTAGCCGTCAAAGTTCCTTAGGGAGTTGGCAAACCCTCATTTGGATTGCATTTTGCAAAAAAGAACCACTAGCATTGCAATGTTGCTAAGATTGTGCAACTTCTTTTGTTTTGGAGAAAAAACCCAATTATCCATTAATAGTTTCTATTTACTCACTAAAAACTGTAAATTTAAGACGAAAATTACCATCTAAATTTCACAGTTTTTCACGACTTCTGCAATTTTATTGCAAAATATGAAAATGCACAATCTTAGCATCATTGCAATGCTAGTGGTTCCTTTTTGCAAAATGCAATCCATTTCTTCTAAAACCCCCTGTCTCCACCCTTTCACTGGGCGTCCCCTTCGTTTCCTTCCAGGAGGAATCCAACTAAGCATTTTCTTCGGAAGCCTTTCGTCCCCCATATTGACATGGCCATACCCGACAAGCTGTCTGGTCATGCCCCGGTAAAAATTGGCAGTAGAATCCGTGTTCTAAAACACCATAGACCTACAGCCGGCTGTAAGATTTCCAATAACTTCTATAGCCGGCAACACAATTTCTTATAGCCTTTTATAGCCGATGGCGATTAAGCAACAGCCTGGCGATAAAGTGTATGCTAAACGTTACTAATTACGGATGCTAGAACTTAGTGAGTTTTTGGACTACCGCTCTCTTTTTGGGCCGTAGTATCTTGATTTATTTTGCGAAGAAAGCTTCGTACTTTTGAAGGATGCCTGTCATTCCTAATATGTTGGAGCGCCTTCAATTTCGTATGATACTGTGCAATACCTCTGGTGTGAAATAGTTGCTTCAAGAGCCGTGGTACGCTGCGGCGCGGCGGGTGGGCAGCCAGCGCGAAACGCGCATTGGCGCCTACAAACCTAACAGGGATACTTCACGCATTGCGCAATGCGTGAAGTATCCCTGTTAGGTTTGTAGGCGCCAATGCGTCGCCGCTCCGCTTTGTGTTAGGCTCTAATATTTAATCTCGTGGAGTCAGCGTTTTTCAACTCAAGACTTTGAAATGTTTGCACACTCTGCACGGATTATTTTAATTTTAAATGATGAAAAAAAATATGTAGTATAGGAAAATGTAATGTGCGTTTTGTAAATATTAAGGTGATTCCGTACAAACTTAAGGATTTACAAAGCACACGAATTTCTACACAATTTCTTATAGCCTTTCATAGCCGAGGGCGAAAAAGCAACAGCCAGGCGATAAAGTGTATAAAGCCCGGCGATAGAAACTACAGCCCGGCTGTATAATTTCTTATCGCTTCGTGTCGCCCGACCGTATGATTTTTTCACTTTCTACAGCCAGCTATATGATTTTCTATCGCCTTATTCAGTCGGCTATAAGAACTTCTATGGTATTTTGAAACGCAGCTCCTATCGCCAATTTTTACCAGGGTGACGTCGAATATGATGTCATTTTCGACTCCCAAAGGGTTTAAAGTGTAAGCTCAAATCTACCGTGCTAAGGAGGAACGCCATATGAACCTGCGAACGTTGTCAAATTTCATTTGATAAAGTATATACTTTTGAGAAACATTTATGCATATTTTTCCTTAAAATTTTCAGATATTTTAGATTAAATCGCGTACAAATTGTCTGAAAACTTTGGAAAATAATCTTCGCAATTTTCCCAGTAAATTCGGTTTTTATCGGAGGAAACTTGGCAAACGCCTGAAGGCTCATATGGCGTTCTTTCGTAGCACGGCGGAAATCGAAGCAGTGCAACTCTTCGTTCCTTAGACGAAGGAAAGTAACCCAATAGATCTATTGCACACAATGGAGACAGCAAACTGGGTATGCGCAAAAATTTAAATTTCCTATTCTCAGTTCAATGATATCACAAGGTTCATGCCGTACTAAGGCAGAACGCCGTATGAACATTCGAGCGTTGCCTCATTTTCCTTGATTAAACATGTATTTTTGACCACATTAATGCACATTTTCTTTGAAATTTCCAGATATTTTAGATTAAATTGTATACAAAATAGTCTAAAAATTTTGGAAAAAAAGATTCACAATTTTCCCAGTAAATTCTGTTTTTATCGAAGGAAACTTGGCAAAGTCTGAAGGCGGCTCATACGGCATTCTTCCTTAGCACGGCAGTATAAGTTGTTATTTGGAAGAAGGTTAGGGTCTTTGCCTCCTTCAGGAAGGTCTCTTCTGAGATTTCGGGAGAGCCAAAAATTAGGAATCCTTGACACAAAATTAACTTCGTTGTTTTAACTCAATAGCCGAGTCAGCAAAAATGAGGGTACTGCTGGACTCATGAATCACCCTATATGACATTGAAAATCGAAACAAACAGAATGCAATTTCAGTTACATCAAAAATAAAGAAAATCCCTTTACAATCAAATACATGTAAAAATGGACAAGATTTGCTTTTGAAAGGGTAGTTTCGTGGAAAAGAAACATTCACCAATGACAGCCTTATTACCAGGTACTTTTTCTTTAAAGTTGTATAATTTCCATAGAATGGAGTTGTTTGTGGTTTATTGCCGTAGAACAGGTAATTTACACTAAAATTAGGAAAATTTTGCGCATATACTTTAACGAAGCGCCCGGGTAATTTTGACAAACGACAAACAACGGTCAAAGGACAAAGGATTTTGACGACAAACAAAGGTCATTAAACGCTTTTTCTCACTGACCCTCTCCTCATTGCAGCATGTGATAAATTTAGCATGACGCCGCACATTGGATCGAGTCAAACAGAAAGGTCGGTCATGAGTTTTTTGACTTAAACTGAAAATTTAGATGTTTATTTCATCACATTTTAAATATCAATGGGAAGAAAATTCCATGAGGAAACCAATGAAACCACTTTTAAAACGTCAAATTTTTTTTATGAACGGAGTTATGAGCATCTAAAGTTTTCAAATGTTGACCGACTTCTCCTATTGACTTGGTCCAGTGTGCGCCGCGCCATTCAAATGTCTCAGGTGCATTTCAAACACCAAAACGCGGCGGAATGAGGTAATTGTATTTGCTTGTATATTCAGGTGCTATCCGGGAGTTTTTATAGAATCAGCAAATAGAGTGATGAGAATTAGACGTCGTTAGAGTTCAATTTTGCGCTTCGTGTGACAGTTCAGTTAACGCGACCGCAGCCGACTTAACGGGGGAATCTGTAAATTTAAAACGCTGAGGCTACTTTTGTCTTGATTCCACCAACAGCTAGCATTTTACCTCCTCCGATATCGGAACAACAGCACCAACTGATTTCGGAATTGTTTCAAATGAAGGCTCTGAGGCTTTAGATGTACCAACATCCTTTTGTTTTTCAATTTTCGCGACCAATGTCGACCCGACTCAAGTTGACAAATTTTCGATTTTATATGAACACTTTTTCCTCCATCTATAACTCGGAACCAACTAGACCGCGATTAACTCGGGTTTAATTTTAAACGATAGCTTATAGGCTCTAAGTGTGCCAGCACTCTTTTGTTTTGCGATCCTTTCAAAATTTACCTCGATTGAAATTGATACATTTTTTAACTCTACCGCTAGACAGTTGCTCACCATGTGGTGTTTGGTGTTTCGATCTCTGCGATTGACGTTGCAAAACTTGTCTCGATTGAAATCGCGGCACATTTTTCGATTCTATACAACACTAAAATATTCGACCTCTTTCAACCTCGAAAACTACTGCAATGATTAACTTTGGATTCACATCTATTTCCCTCAGCAAAAATTTCAGGAAGCTAAAGTATTCAGGTTTTCTTAAGTGAGGAACATTTAGGATGCTTTTGAATACCGCACTCTTTAGTTGTTGATCACCTTTGAAATGCTCTAAAAACTCAAATATATGTAAACAAGTTGCTTTTACAGCGCACCTCCTCTGCAACCCCTAATCGCCATCCTTGTCTATCAAGGAAGAGATTATCTGGTAAATCGCACCTTGTAATTTAATTTTTAAGATAATACACAAAGGTAGCCCGAATAATTTAACTTGAATAAACACAAAACAATGGGTAAACAAGGCTAAAAACATATGTTTTAAGCCTTGTTTACCCATTGTTTTGTGATTTTTCGAGTTTAATTTTTACTGCCACCTATCTACAATCTCGCTGGGCGTCCTTTACGTCTACTCCTAGGAGGAACCCAATCTAGTGATTTAAGTTTACACTAGTATTCAGTTAGTAATGTAGTACTAACTGAAATGGCCTTTCTTTTTAGGACGTGCAATGCTTAAGATTTGTCGAATTTGCGAACAATTTACAGAAACATCAGTGTTCATCCTCAGACTCCACATCATTCTATCGCTATCGTCTGGCGTTCCTGAATCAATAATTTTCTTCGAAAACAAGGACTTTTTGGGTGACCGTTGCGAAATTGAAGTCGATGGGTGTAAACCGATGTGCCCTGGGATGGAGAGAAAAGCCTCATCCCTGCAAGGAAATGCCACATGCGCTCACTTTTATAGAGAGAAAAATTGTGAGTCGTACATCGGTCCTTGGTACGCGGCTGTGGGTCCGTATGAGGACTTGAAATGGTCGATTGGCCAAGACTCCATTGTTTCTGTCGGGGACTGTTCTCGACCGATGGATGTAAGTATGACCGAATAAAGCCGCACTGGAAAAAAAGTCTCTTGGGTCCAGAGTCAAGGCTCTTAAAAAATTGACAAGAAAAAGTACTCTTGATTCAATCTGAATTTTGATTGAATCAAGAGTATTTTTTCTTGTCGATGTTTTTAAGAGTCTGGACTCTAGATCCAATGTGATTTTTTTCCAGTGAACGTCCATGACATAGTTTACCTGTTTTTTTTGTGGCACACAGCTATTACCAAAATAACCATCACCACTATGCGTTACACTATACTGCCGTACTGAGGAAGAACGCCGTATGAACCTTCAGGCGTTGCCGAATTTCCTTTGATAAAACAAGTATTTCCTGCCAAACATGAATGAAACATGAATACTTTTCCTCTAATTTTTCAGATAATTTAGTTCACAATTTCACACCTAAAGTTCCTGAAGATTTCAAGGAAAAATATTCATAAATCTCCTTAAAAACCCACTATTATCGGAGGAAATTTGGCAACTCTCAAATTTTCATACGGCGTTCTTCCTTAGCACGGCAGTATAGAAGCACTTGTATGTTTTCCAGCCGATAAATTCCATCACATTTTACGAGGATAAGGATTACCACGGAAAGAGATGCAACATACAGATGCCGTCGAAGGGCTGCCAACCGATGTGCCCAGATCTCGATAAAGAGGCCTCATCTGCATTTGGATCGGAAGTCGGCTGCGTCAAGATGTACAACGAGCCGAACTGCGAGGGATTTTTGGGGATTTTGGACCTCACCGGGCCGGTCTCTGAGCCTGATTTTAAATCCACAACTCTCCAAGACAGTATTTCCTCCATCGGCGACTGTTCCAATAGTTCCATTTCACTTTACGAGCATAAATACCTAGGCGGGAAGAGATGTGACATGCCCGTGCAGGGCTGCCAACCGGTGTGCCCGGAGTTGGTGAAGCAAGCCTCCTCCGCCCAAGGCGACGCGCAATGCGTTAACGCCTACAGCGAGGCCAATTGCAATGGGTTTTTAGGCACCTTGACGTTCAGTGACGGTAAACCCTATCTTGACTTCAATAACAAAGTGGTTCAAGATTCAATTTCCTCGATAGGCGAGTGTGTAAGAAACAATTCCGTTATATTCTACGAGCATAAGAAATTCGGCGGGAAAAGATGCGATATGCAAGTACAGCAGAGCTGCCAACCCATATGCCCGGGATTGGATAAGCAAGCCTCATCCGCACAAGGATTCATTATTTGCGTCCATGTCTATGCCAATGCGAACTGTACCGACCCACTAGGCGCCATGAAGTTTAGTGATAAAACGTCCTACTTAGATTTCTCTGGTACTAGTTTTCAGGATGCCATCTCCTCCATGAAGGCATGTTGATAAATGAAGTACATCGACGGCGAAATTCCCAAATCACGAATCTCGTCAGCGATGTCTAAAAATCTCCGTCCCAATCAGGGCCGGATTAAGAGGGTGGCCACAAGGGTCGCGGCCCATGGCGACAAACTCAGGGGGCGGCCAATTTTGCATTTTTTTTAAAATGTAGGTATAAAAAAAATCGTATTCAGAAAAAAAAAAATTATCAACGAGAAAAGGCGACAGAATTTCTTTTTCTTGAGAGTACAGTAATTGTTAATTTTGTCGTCTTTCGGTGACACAAGAGACTGCACCTTTAATTAGTCGAGTTAAGAGAGAAACCAAACACGCAATTTGGCCTGGAGCGGCGCGGCGCAGAGAGGAATGATGATGAGGACTTGAGATGTAAAGGAGAGGCCCTCGGCGCGGCGCGGCGGTTGGCCTGTAACACATATAAGCGCCTACAAGACTGCATGAATACTTTACGCATTGCGTCAAAAACAGTGCGGTCAGCGCGAAACGCCCAGCGCCTACAAGACTGCACGAATACCTCCCGCATTGCGTGAAGTATTCGTGCATTCACTTTTGCTCTTTTGAGCCTACAGGCATCAAACGGACGTATTTCTGTCAAGCGGAACTATGCGCATTATGACGTGAGCCCTGTTCCGCATATATTCTCATGGGTCTCAGGGCTCATGTATTGATGCACATAGTTCCGTTTGGCAGAAATATGTCTAAATATAACCTCCAGAAACCAAAGGGTATATCGGCGGTGTAGGTCGGCAATCACATAACTCGGTATGCGACGTCGCAGACTTCCTGTCATACTTTATTTTTTAAACGGAAAACTACTCAACGGCGATTCTTAAAAACAGCAATGATTTTTCTTTTCTGTGCGAAGAGAATTCTGCATAAACTTCAAGGAAAGATGTCCATTTGTTTTCCTTTAAAAAATAACACGGAGGCGGAGATTTTCAGACACCGCAAACGAGATATGAGATTGCGGACCTACGCCGTCGATATGTCAGTAGTTGGAGGTAAGAAAATTATGTAAAAAAAAAAACTTAAATTCTCAATGTAACAAATAGAAATGAAAATAAAGTGATAGCTAATGGTAACCCTGTGGAAAATTTCAATTTTATTCTGCAACAAAAAGAGTTTTATCTTAATTCATCGCCCAATGTGCAGGTTTCTTCGACTAAAATTAATAAAATGGGCCTGTTGCAAACTTTTGCTAGAGCAAAACTAAGAGTTGTTTCCTACAGATAATGCCTCAAAAATCACGATGAGCGCATCGGCAAAGTCTGAAATGCACTCATAACTTCACAATCTGCGTAAGTTTGCGGTTTTTTGAGCTTCCCGCTTCGAAAACGATACTACGGTACAGGTGAACATTTTGTTAGAGGAGTCGTTCCATTGGCGACAATACTCATCATGGCCGACGCCAGTCCGCCAAAACACGTGTGATGGGACGAGATAACACTTGAACAGGATTAAACCATATAACAATCGGCGTGTTTACGTTCATATTTTCCTCGCCCGCCTTAATTGACCTTGAACTCTCCTCGAATTACGCGAGGAACTGCGCAAGCGTCGGCCATGATGAATATTGCCGACGATGGAGCGACTCCTCTAACAAAATGTTCACCTGTGCAGTAGTATCGTTTTTGAAGCGGGAAGCTCAAAATAACGCAAATTTCTTACGGAGATTGTGAAGTTATGAGTGCATTTCAGACTTTGCCGATGCGCTCATCGTGATTTTTGAGGCATTATCTATAGGAAACAACTCTTCATTCTGCTCTAGCAAAAGTTTGCAACAGGCCCATTGTACATATCTGCCGTCGGGCCATTTTAACCACTTTGAACATTGTGCTTGTAATCATCGAACGTGCAATGGCGCACATTATTTCTTATTATAATCATTTCATTAAGCTTGGACGTTACTTACACTTTGAACAACACAAGGTGGGAAAAGAACACTGCCCGATTGAAAAGCCTATCAAAACCGTTGTAGTGCGCGACGGAATTCTAGTAGAGACTCAAGTATTTTCCTGTGAGCAGAAAATTCAAATGCCTCGTGATAGATGTCAATTTGAAGTGTCATTATCTTGGTTTGGAGATAATATAAGTTATTTTCGTCAAAAGTGCGTCATCGGATTGCTTTAATTAGTACTGGAACGCGCACAATTATACCCACTCGATCAAGTGCCTAATGTTCAAACTTCGACCAATGTTTCATATCTTAGGATTAATTACCAAATTTTATAGTTCTTCTTATTTACCGGCCGCCCCTCCCACCACCATCACAGCGTACTTTGCATGACGCCATTCCCAAGTTAAAAGTGTATTCTGCCATGCTAAGGAAGAATGCCGTATGAGCCCTCAGGCGTTGTCAAATTTACTTTGATAAAACTTAAATTTCTAGTGAATTTTTGAATATTTTCCTTCCAATTTTTCAAATAATTTTTTTCGCCATTTTACCCAAAGTTCCTAAAAATGTCAAAGAAAAATATGCATACCTTTCTTCAAAATTAATCATTTAACCAGAGGAAATTTGGCAACTCTCAATTGTTCATACGGCGTTTTTCCTTATAGAACGGCAGTATTGTACACACAAAGACGAGACAAAAAATGAGCGACGGATAACTACTTGTACACTCAGGTGTTATCCGGGCATCTTCTAGATTCAGCAAATAGAATAATGCACGTTTGATGTCGTTAGATTTCAACGCAACGAATTGTGTGACTATTTGGACGTATTTCTATCAAACGGAACTATATGCATTAAGGCGTGAGCCCTGAGACCCATAAGACTATGTGTATAACAGGGCTCACGTCATAATGCACATAGTTCCGTTTGATAGAAATACGTCCATTTAATAAACGTGAACGCAGTCAACGAAATNGGGGGGGGGGGGGGGTCTCCGGCAATGTCTTGACTATGACCTTCAGTGAGTTTTGTTTACATCGATTTGCCTCTAAATTGTCGTATATATGTATGACATTGACCGTCAATTTTTCGAACAATTTTCACAGTCGGTAAGTATAAGTTTGGTTTTTACTCATTCCAGTTAATTAACTGGCGTTAGATTATTTTAGGCATTGTAGGTGGTTACTATAATAGAACGTTTAAGTCGGGCTATTACTTTCCTTTTAAAAAAAAATGAATAAATAAAACACAAGAAGACATTAGGCAACGTCGAATTACTTAGGTCTTTTTTAGGCCAGCATGAAAATCATATAGCTGTCTGTAGAATGCGGAGAAAATCGTACGGCCGGGCTATACGAAGCGATAAAAAAGTATGCAGCCGGGCTATAGTCCCTATCGCCGGGCTTTACACTTTATCGCCTGGCTGTTGCTTTTTCGCCATCGATTATAATAGGCTATAAGAAATTGTGTAGAAACTCGTGTGCTTTGGAAATCATTAAGGTTGATTCGGAACCACCTTAATGTTTACAAAACGCACATTACATTTTCCTATACTACATATTTTTTTTCATCAATTAAAATGAGAATAATCCATACAGAGTGTGCAAACATTTCAAAGTCATGAGTTGAAAAACGCTGACTCCACGAGATTAAATATTAGAGCCTAACACAAAGTGGAGCGGCGGCGCAATGGCGCCTACAAACCTAACAGGGATACTTCACGCATTGCGCAATGCGTGAAGTATCCCTGTTAGGTTTGTAGGCACCAAAGCGTGTTTCGCGCTAGCTGCCCGCTTGCCGCACCGCAGCGTGCCACGGCGCTTGAAGCAACTATTTCACACCAGAGGTATTGCACAGTATCATACGAAACTGAAGGCGCTCTAATATATTAGGAATGGCAGGCATCCATCAAAAGTACGGAGCTTTCCTCGCAAAATAAATAAAGATACTACGGCCCAAAAAGAGAGCGGTAGTCCAAAAACTCACTAAGTCCTAGCATCCGTGATTAGTAACGTTCAGCATACACTTTATCGCCAGGCTGTTGCTTAATCGCCATCGGCTGTAAAAGGCTATAAGAAATTTTGTTGCCGGCTATAGAAGCTATTGGAAATCTTACCGCCGGCTGTGGGTCTATGGTATTTTGGAACACAGATTCTACTGCCAATTTTTACCAGGGACATCTATTTTTTCCGATTTCATACCGCTAATCGAAGGTTTTCCGGGATTGAAATTCGATTCAAGAATGAATTAATGCACCCGACACCAACATGTCTGGAGCTTACGTGGATTCCATTTATTTTCCTTGGAAAATCAGTTCGTAGAGTAATGGAAACAAACTGAGTGATCAGCTAAAGGTTGAAGGTGTTAGCAAAAATACTGGTCATTGACTCGTTGAAGTTAGATGTGAATTTTACGTGTAAAAATACGCAGGAATTGATATGCTAAACATAAGTAAACAACGATTAAAACCTCATGACAACACATCAATTTAACAAGAAAATGATTAAAAATTTAGGCAGGATGTTGGCCCCTTA